ATTTTGAACAAATTACTTTAATTTGTATCTGATGAAAGGAGTTTGATCAATCCACCTTCAAATTCTTTTTACGCACTTGTACAGTTTTCAGTCTTGATGTATTGTTCCTTCAAAAACTTTTGACTTTACAATATTTCGATAAGATAAACAAACGTGCGTTGGCTGAAGTATGATGATGGTGTAATTATACCTCAATAATAGATTGGCCCTTTGTCACTATTCTAATTTCATTGTCTATTTCGGAAACGTGTGCAGAAAATTTATTTTCTTAAAAATACGTTCGTAATAGTATTTGAACAATACAATTCACGTAGTGGGACGAGATCGAGTTATGTGCTTCCACTGCTACTGACTAGTAATGTATGGAACGTCCAGTTGAAACCCCATGCGTCGACCCTGCTAATAATTAACAGTAACGCATGATCGACCTCCGATTATTAGAACGTGGATACTTATTATTCTTCCAACATCAACTCTAAAAACTTATTGTCATGAACTTAATTATTAATATTTTAATACTATGAACATGTGCGTGCACAATCTATTGATTTGAATGTCCAAAAGTTTGGGCATTTGTTGAACTGAGGTTGATCTTTTGCTGACGAAAAACAGAGAGTAATTTCGTGGACTAACTGAATCATCATAAACACCCGACCAATTTTCATTTATCTGTGTAACCAGTCAACGTGTAGTGAACATAATACAAAAATTTTAAATGTAGTGTTCTATTTTTTATTAATTTTTTATTCTGACTAGATTTTCGAGCAAAATATTTCAACTCGCGAAGAAACATTGTAGTTAAAGTGAATAAACTAGCATACTATATTATAGGTTGTATTACAGAATATGTGTCCATCTTTTTCTTGCTATTTGGCATTACTGCTCATGATAATGACTACCGGCCGTGACACATTAATCTATGTATAACTTTTTGTACTATTTGCATGTTTTTTTTTGTGTCTGAGAAAATAAACAGGTTTTGATGTTGAAGCTTCTAAAAAATGTACATAATGTGTATCATGAAAGGGTTCATTAAACCCGCAAAACTAATCAAAACTTTTATACTTTTCTTTAATGGACGAACAACTTTTTCATTTGCCGCTGGTACGCTCCTTAATCTCGCACTGCATCAAAAAAGTTAGCTACGCAGCGTGACGAGCACAATGCTGACATGTGTTTTTTACGCTTACAAATATATTCACGGGAAAGTTCTGCAATTTTAAATGTGATCGTCAATGTTCAGTTGGATATTTTTAAAATTATTTTTCAATCAGTACCCAATCGTGCTGTTGAAGAATCGTATAGCAACTACTAAAGACAAGGCAACGTTTTATTTAGTGCACGTAAATCACGGTAAATGTAACATTGATCGCAATTTGGTCATTCACTCGCTGGAGCATACTTTACCATTGATAACATAACATAACATAACATAGTGATGTCGCCGCTGAAGTGTAGGCCTGATGTGGCCTGTCGCCGATTCTTTTCCTTTTCGTGCCTTGTTCATAGATCTAAACTCGTGTCATTTGACCGGATCTTTTCATGACTAGCGATAGTTTGAAGTAGCTACTAGACTTCCACCGGGTTCGATAAGGAGCTTGGCATTTCAAATCTGAACATATATTTTTCCATAGCTTTATCTAGTCTGTTCTTGAACGCGTTCATACTTGGAGCGCACACGATGTCATTGGGGAGGCTGTTCCACATGTCGGTGATTCGAAGCGAGAAGAAATTTTGTCGCGTGGAGAAGTTGCAGCGCAGTTTTTTTAGCTTATAGCCGTGGCCCCTGGTGTTGGTTCTTGTTTCAAATTCTAGGAACCCTTCAGGGACCTTGTATAGACCATGAGTATACTTGTATACTTCAATGAGGTCCCCACGAAGACGTCGATAACTGAGGCTTGGAAGTTCATAATCTTCAATCTTTCTTCATAGGACTTGCCCTTCAAGCCTGGAATTATCCTTGTTGCACGTCTCTGAACATTCTCTATTAAATTTCTGTCCTTTTCAAATCTCGGTGACCTCACAACGTTTCCAAACTCTAAACTCGGGCGTACGACGGCAACAAACAACTGCTTCATCGTTTCTGCATCTAGGAACTCGTATGAGCGTCTGATTAGTCCAAGAAGTTTGTTGGATGTGTTAGCTTGCGTTTCGACATGCTTAGAAAATTTCAGCTCCTTGTCGACATCCGAGATCTTTTTCCACACTAGACTTTTCAATCATTACTCTTTCGTTGCAACCATGTCTTCTCATACTGTAATCTTGCTGTTCATTGTTCTTCCCGAGGTGAAGTACTTTACACTTGTCAGCATTAAACCGCAACTGCCACGTATCAGCCCAGTTAACTAAGCTGTCAAGATCATCTTGCTATTGCGCTTTATTTGACGCATTCTTCACTGAATTATAAACTTTTGTGTCGTCGGCATACATGGAGCACACGCTGGACACTACTTCTGGCAGATCATTTATAAAAGCAACGAACAAAATAGGCCCCAGGACGCTTCCTTGTGGCACGCCACTGCGCACTGATGCCCAGTCTGACACGGTTCCGTTAATACTGACACGTTGTCGTCTACCTACTAGAAAATCTCTGATCCATTGGAGTACGTTTCCCTCAATTCCCAAGGACTTCACTTTACGTAACAGCCGCTCATGCGGAACACTGCCAAATGCTTTGGCAAAATCGAGGTACAATGCATCCCCTGGCTCCCTTTCGTCCAGCAGGCGAGTCCAATCGTTCAACGTAGATAATAAGTTAGTGGTGCAGGATCTGCCGACAATAAAACCCTGTTGACAATCTGATATGAGATGGTGAGCAGTCAAGTGATCGATAATCCTATCCCTCACAACAGATTCCATTAGCTTACAAACAACACTTGTCAGACTGACATGGCGATAGTTGCCGGGGCTGCTTTTGTCACCTTTTTTGAACAATGGTGTTACTTGAGCTTCTTTCCAGTCGGACGGCAAAAGCTGAAGAACTGATTAAGAACGTTAGCCTTGCCCTCATCAGAAAAAATCTTTCGTTGGTCTACTTTCAAATCAGAAATACCGTCCTTTGACTTACATTTCGAACTAGCGTACAAAAAGAAGGCTTTCAGATTCTTTTTTGCATTTTTAGCAATATTTTTTTCGAAGTTTTTCACTGCAGCGCGACAAACTTTTTTAGCATGATACCGAGCTCTGGCATACAGGTTATAATCAGACTCGCTGCGAGTTCGTAAATAACGCTTGTAGGCTTCTTTCTTGGTCTTTAGCTGAGTCTCAACTGCACTGTTCATCCACTGGGACTTTTTACTCCTCCAAGCGTAATCTTGGGTACACAAGCATCAACTGCAGACATAACCGTGTCTTTGAGAAACGACCACGAATCAGCCACATTCATGTCCTTAATACATTCCGAAATATTCGCCGCATTCACCGTTTCACGGAGTGTATCATAGTCGCCTTTCGCAAAGTTCAAACGTTCACGCTTCCGAAGCGTCTTTTCTGCACAACACTTAATATTGAAAAAACAATGATTGGTGGTGGCTTTTGCCCAACGGAGCCTCGTGGCGAAGCTCATCTATCATTGATTCTTCACTAGTAAACACAAGATCTAGAATACTTGGGGTCTGTTTACCCCTAAAATGGGTTGGCTTGGTGATGTTCTGGATTAAAAATGAGTCTCGCACAGACTCCAATAACAAGGATGCTGGGTGATTCTCATCTCTTGGAGAAGATTCATCTGCCCAGTCTATTTCTGGATGGTTAAAGTCACCAACGATCAACGTATGCGACCTGCTGAATGACATGCTCGGTAAATGGCTGTTTAGTACTTTATTGTTATCAGAGGAGCTGTTAGGTGATCTGTAAATGACCCCTATGAGAAGGCTATCTTTGCCTTTTAGAGTAAGTTCACACCACACTGACAACAAACACCAAATATTGGCTGACAACAAACACCAAATAGTTCAGTATATCACCAGGTGAAACGGGAGGTAGTCCTACAAAATCTGCACACCACTGCTTTGCTGGAACTACGTAGGGATCAACATCGTTAATGTTGAACAATTTTCTTAAATACTGGTCTCTCGCTGGAGGAAGGAGTTTTTGACAATAGCTTAATCCTTTCTGCTTTGATCTGTCTTTTTCCATTGCCACCAAAACATCCAAACGTTTAGGAACGAAAGAGTAAGCTAAGGCGCGAGTGTGCAACAAACATGACGGCGTAGCAACGCCACGTAAATGGAAACGCGGGAGCTTGGCGAGTCCGATACCGGGCATTACAGCAAGATTGAGTACAAGTAAATAGGAGAAGTAACAGTAAGAGAAGTACAAGTAAGAGAAGTATAGAAAATTGTGACGGTGTCAGGGATTATCCATGGAATGGGTATTACATGGAATGATGGCGAACTGGATAAATTGGAGTTTGTACAGAATAGATAGCTAGACTGGCACTTGGGGCCTCCAGATGGACTGCGATAGAGGCTTTGAGAGGAGATATGGCTTGGATCACGTTTAGAGTGAGAAGAATGAAAGCAGCTTTGAGATATAAAGTACGAATGGAAAGAATGGATGATGAACGTTGGGAGCGAAAGATGTGCCCGTGGAACTTGAGGGTGAGCAAATGGGAACGTAAGTGTCATGCAATATGACAAACCCGTAAGTGTCATCAGAGGTGGGCAGTAGCGCGCTCCATGTAGCGGCCGACATGTAGTCAAACTCCACTTAGTTTTGAATCAAAAAGTCATGAAGATATTATTTTAGTGAATGATCATAAAACTCTTAGATACGAATATCAAGATTTGCTTGCAAATTATAGCACAAAAGGAAAAGAAATTAGCTGGCATAACTTGATTGAAATTTTTTTTCTCATTGTCTCCAGGCTGTCTCTTATACACATCAGATGTGTATAAGAGACAGCAGAGATACTGTCAAGTATTTCAATGCTAACAGCATCAAAATCCACACAGAAACGTAAAATTTTAATAGGTTTTACACTGAAATTTACGATCCTNAATTGTCACTGAACTAACTAGAGAGACCCTGCTGTTAGATGGCTCCATTGCAGACCCCATCTGTCCAGATCCAGCCCCATACCAGGTCCCCAGCAACAAAACTTTCTATATCCCTGTCAGCCAACCAAACTCAGCGGGTCCTCCTGGGGCAACAAATACGGAAACGACAGAGGACCACATTGAGCCATCTCCTGTCATAGGAAAAAACAACAAGAAAACAGCCCAGAATGCAGCAATGATGGAGGAGGACCTAATTGAGCCATCTCCTATCATTGGAAAAAACATCAGGAAAACAGCCCAGGGATCTTCAAAACTAGGCCGGAATCAAATGGCAAATCAAAGTAAAAGTAAACCCAAAAGCGTCTTCCCTCTGCAGCCAGAAAACAAAGATAAAGCTAACACAAATACTAAATGTCTTCCCATCAAGAAATAAGGATACTCCAGTGGAACTGCCATAGCCTCAGTAACAAACTCAGCAACCTAAAACTGCACATTTACTCCAACAAGCCACATGTAGTATGTCTGTCCGAAACATGGCTTTCACCAAACTTTGAACCAACATTTATTAACTATAACACCATTTATAAACATAGAGAGGCTCCTCAGGCTGGAGGAGGGCTTGCTCTGCTGATCAGGAGTGATGTTACCTACTTGGAACATGACTTACAACCCTTTCAACGGGGCCTTCTGGAAGTTTGTGGGATCAAAATATACCTGAAAAATAACAATGTGCCAGTATCAATACTAAATCTCTACAACCCTAATAAAAATGTCACCTATCAAGAGTTTGATTTCTATTTCTCACAGTTAGAACCCTCATGCCTCATCGTGGGTGATTTCAATGCCCATAGTCCAGTTTGGGAGCCAGGCAAAATCCCAAACCAGAGTGGAAGGAACTTAGAAAATATCCTACTAAACAACAGCAGACTAGCTCTTCTGACCCTGTCTCTTATACACATCTAGATGTGTATAAGAGACAGGTAGTGAAGTGTTTTGAGAGTCATGTGAAGGCAACAGAACTTACGTAACGCATACGTTTTTTTTATAGTTTTTCATTTCTCGATGCGTCCTTAAATTGTCGGAATATACCGCGTTTACCCTATAAGTAGACCAGTAAAGTATCCTGGATACCAGCAGTATCATACATAAGAAATTGATTTAAATCTTGGGTAAACGAGGAAATTAAAAATGAACTGATTCTAAAAAATCTGTGGTTTGCCACTATGACCGACTTGACCGTGGCCCCTGTAAGGCTGTAAGAGTCATTCATTGTTGATGTTGTAAACTTGTAAATGACAATAGGTATAGTCAATAGTGAATATATAGGCTAGCATGTCTGTGGCATACAATTAAAAAACAGTTTTTCCTAGAACAAAATTCATCAATCATTAAGTCTACAGATGAATTTTTTTAGCACATTTTCTCAGTTATGGCACATTTCTTTTTTTCTTTAGCATTTCTCATAATGCACAATAGTGCATTATGAAACTGCTCGCTATGTCCGTCCATGGTGGCAATCCATAGGTTATTCAAAAGAACCTGTTCTTATGTCATTTTGAACCGATCAACGCTTCTTTACGGACCGATCGTAAAACACATTATGAGACCATAACTGAGAAAATGTTGCTCAATGGGTTAGTCCAGTCGTAAATGAGACTTTCGTTATTCCCTTCCTACCCCCCCCCCCCCCCCCGCTGAGCCGGACCGGGCGATGCTCTTGCAAACGCATAAGTACTCACAATAATTCCCTGCCACCATGTGTCCGTCTGTCTGTCTATCCATCCGTCCATGTCCCGTGACTTCAACTTCTCAAGTTATCGTCAATGATTAGGTAAATGCGCTCTCTGTAACTCACTGCAGTGAGTACTGAGTCACTACTGACTCTGAGTTACCTATATTAATCATAGTGGCAAACCAGAGATTTTGTAGAATCAGTTCATTTTTAATTTTCTCATTTACTCAAGATTTAAACAAATTTCTTAAGTATGATAGTGCTGGTATCCATGATACTTTACTAGTCTACTTATAGGACTCAAAAATGAACTTGAGGCAGTGTCTAAATAACTCTCTGCTTTGCCACTATGCTATATTTCTTTACTCTATAGGGCAGGCCAAGATGTTGTTAAAATTTGCGTCAGACCAGAGGCTCCGATCATATTACTGAGATAGTGGCAAACGAGAGCTTTTTTAGAATCAGTTCATTTTTAATTTCCTCGTTTACCAAAGATTTAAAGTGAGATTAGCCTAGGTAGGGCCTACCTAGTTTCCGAGAAACAGTCGAAATCAAAATTCATAAGGTAACTTAGGTTTAACCGTTTAAGTATATTATCCAAATCAGTGAGTCGCTCATCGATAGCATTTTTGTGAATTAAACATAAAATAAATAAATCAATAAAAGACATTACATTAATGATTTAATCAATTACATAATTACTCACCATCTCAAAATCCTTGAACAAGCCCCCTCATACACAAATGTCATTCACAACTTGCCGCTGCGGAACGCAATGACACCGCTCTGTACTTGTTTTTACGTGTATACTTGAAGTAATGCGGACTAGTCGATGGACAACACATTCACTTTATCCTAATTTGATACATTTTAATGAATTAATAGTTTCACTTTTAGACAATCGCTCGAAGCAATACAAATTGAATGAGGACATATGATTTGTCAAGAATCTCGTTCCCTCATTTTTCAGAATGAGTTTGTGTTTGAAAATGAAGTTGGAAACCTGAATGTTACAATGAATGAGGGAAAGTGACTTGGAGTAATAATAGTATAATAATATAGCGATTTCAGCGTTTAATATGCCGTCGGCCTGTCGCAGATTCCTAACATCACAGAACCTCCACAGTGTGTTGCGGTCTCAATCTTGCAATCACTGCTACAATTTTGCTTTGCCTAACCGCCAAAATTACAAACGGGGAGGTGTGTAGTGACTTGAATTATATCTCGCACTAGTATTTCTCTTGAAGGCCATAATTAAATTATATAAAATTGCATCAATCAATTACGGAAGAGGGAAGGCTGCCGTAAAATCTTACTCAAACCCCAACCACTATAAAAACCTCCCTCTTCTTCAGGTGAAACGGGCGGTTGAGCGACTGAAAAATAATAAGGCAGCTGGAATAGATGAGATACCATATGAGATGTATAAGTATGGAGGTGGGAGTGCAATTGGCCGACTGATTGATCTATTCAATGTTGTTTGGGTTTGATGCATGGAATGAAAGCCGGGCAACCTTGTTGCACCAGGGAGGCCACAGGAGCAAGAAGGAGCTGAAAAACTGCAGACCAATTGCTCCTGCAGACATATTTTTCATATCATATCATATGGATGTTGGCGCTGAAGAATAGGCCTGATGTGGCCTTTCAACGGGTATAATTGAGCTTGGCAATTATTTTAAGGGGACCGGCTATCATCCGGAAAAACTTCTACAGTTATTATCCGATCATCATAAAACTTCACATACGTACGTAAAATGTAAAAATAAGAACATTTTGCTTCTATGAATTTTTCGACTCTCACATCACTTTTTCATTTTCCACATAGTTTTTTATGGCGTTTTTTCCCATTTTTCTCATTTTCCCCCCATCCGCCCCACCTTCTCCCCCATATAAAAAACGAACCAGACTGAAATTCAAAAAAGTGATGTGACAATCGATAGGTATGGTCTTTACGGATCGAATGGTATATGTCTCATTACTGTAGCTTGAAAACTGTAGGAGGAGATAGGTTTGCCGTGAGACCAATCGGAGGTTTTCACCACGCCCAAAAAACTGCCGGGCGGCACGTAAAATGACGTAAAAGAGTCGTAACGTAGCCAACATACCGTAAGTAAGCCTCAAACCAAGTCAGGAAGGCATAGAGCAACTGGCTGCATACCTTTCACCTCGCTGTCATGATGGGCACTAACTGCTTTGGCGACAGCAGGCTGTATATATAGTCCCGCTTTTGAATTAGTCTCATAGGGATTACTGAAGGCCGCCCAGTACCGCCCCCTGTTCCACGGTGCGTTGTGTATGTAAAAATGCACGTAGAAAGATGATTCTGGTACCGTTACACGCGTCAGAAAGCAAGCTTTAAGATGAGTATATACACCGGATAATGCCATAATTGGCCGCTTTACGTCAGACGTTCCTTTTTAGTGTGTCCAGCCTTCGAATTAATCCCATAGATATTATTGAAGGGGCCTCAAATCCGCCCCCCTTTGGGGAGCTGTCACGAAATCATTTTTCGACGTAGAGAGATGATTCTGGTACCGTTACACGCGTCAGAAAGTAAGCTTTAAGACGAGCACAAAAACCGGAAAACGCCAAAATTGAAAATTTTAAGGTATTTAAGGTAGCCGGTCCCCTTATTGTGCGCTTTAGCCCAGAGAACAATCAGAAGAGACAGGTGCTAGTTGTGACTGGAACAGCTGAGGATGTGGATAGAGTGTGGCAGCTGGAAGTGATTGGGATGACAAATGAGTATGAGTACTTAATAATGAGTGTTGAAATAAAAGGATGCGAGAGTTAAAGCGTGAGTCTTAGCAAAGCAAATCAGTGGTTAGGAATCGGCTTTGAAAGGATGACGTTACGGCACCGAATCGCGAAATGCATTGTGGGATCGGCTGCCATACTTGCCGCACGGTCTGGCTTTTGCCTATGTTTTCTATTTACCGCGCTTGTCTCCTTTTGAAGTTTTTGCTTGAAAATTGGACGTTTCTGCGCCGCTGTTGGATTTTAAACAGACAACTGGAGAATGGAATGCGTTTCTTCAGTTTACCAGCCGTGATGGAAGGCCAAGGCAGCGAAGTTTTCGACGTTACCACATGACGTCGATGGGCATGGGTGGCGGCGATTCGTCGTAGGTTTGAATTATTGGAATAATAATTTACTTATTAAAGATTCTTGAATTCTTGATGTTGCAAGATGTATTGGCTGACTTGCAAAGCGTATTGTATTAACATAACATAGTGATGTCGGCGCTGAAGTGTAGGCCTGATGTGGCCTGTCGCCGATTCTTTTCCTTTTCGTGCCTTGTTCATAGATCTAAACTCGTGTCATTTGACCGGATCTTTTCATGACTGGCGATAGTTTGAAGTAGCTACTAGACTTCCACCGGGTTCGATAAGGAGCTAGGCATTTCAAATCTGAACATATTTTTTTCCATAGCTTTAACTAGTCTGTTCTTGAACGCGTTCATACTTGGAGCGCCAACGATGTCATCGGGGAGGCTGTTCCACATGTCGGTGATTCGAAGCGAGAAAAAAATTTTGTCGCGTGGAGAAGTTGCAGCGCAATTTTTTTAGCTTGTAGCCGTGGCCCCTGGTGTTGGTTCTTGTTTCAAATTCTAGTAACCCTTCAGGGACCTTGTATAGACCATGAGTATACTTGTATACTTCAATGAGGTCCCCACGCAGACGTCGATAACTGAGGCTTGGAAGCTTCATAATCTTCAATCTTTCTTCATAGGACTTGCCCTTCAAGCCTGGAATTATCCTTGTTGCACGTCTTTGAACATTCTCTATTAAATTTCTGTCCTTTTCAAATCTCGGTGACCACACAACGTTTCCAACTCTAGATTCGGGCGTACGACGGCAACAAACAACTGCTTCATCGCTTCTGCATCTAGGAACTCGTATGAGCGTCTGATTAGTCCAAGAAGTTTGTTGGATGTGTTAGCTTGCGTTTCAACATGCTTAGAAAATTTCAGCTCCTTGTCGACATAAACTCCGAGATCTTTTTCCACACTAGACTTTTCAATCATTACTCTCTCGTTGCAACCATGTCTACTCATACTGTAATCTTGCTGTTCATTGTTCTTCCCGAGGTGAAGTACTTTACACTTGTCAGCATTAAACCGCAGCTGCCACGTATCAGCCCAGTTAACTAAATTGTCAAGATCATCTTGTAATTGCGCTTTATTTGACGCATTCTTCACTGTATTATAAACTTTTGTGTCGTCGGCATACATGGAGCACACGCTGGAGACTGCTTCTGGCATGCAAATCGCTTATAAAAGCAACGAACAAAATAGGCCAAAGACCGCTTCCTTGTGGAACGCCACTGCGCACTGATACCCAGTCTGACACGGTTCCGTTAATACTGACACGTTGTCGTCTACCGACTAGAAAATCTCTGATCCATTGGAGTACGTTTCTCTCAATTCCCAAAGACTTCACTTTTCGCAACAGCCGCTCATGCGGAACACTGTCAAATGCTTTGGCAAAATCGAGGTACAATGCATCCACTGGCTTCCTTTCGTCCAGCAGGCGAGTCCAATCGTTCAACGTAGATAATAAGTTAGTGGTGCAGGATCTACCGGCGATAAAACAATGTTGACAATCTGATATGAGATGGTGATCAGTCAAGTGATCGATAATCCTATCCCTCACAACATAAGCCTATCTCATGGCTTATACAAGGTCCCAGAAGGATTATTAGAATTTGAAACAAGAACTAACAAATGGGGCCACGACTAAAAACTAAAAAAATTGCGTTGCAACACATCCATGCGACAAAATTTCTTTTCGCTTCGAGTCACCGACATGTGGAATAGCCTCCCTGATAGTGATAGCATCGTTAACGCTCCCAGTATGAACGCCTTCAAAAACAGACTTGACGAAGCTATGCAGGAGCATATGTTCAGTCTTAAAATGCCTAGCAAATTACGGACCTATGTGATAAGTCCAGTAGCTATCTCGATCAATCGTCAGTTATGGAAGGATCAGGTTCCAAAGGCCGGATCCCTTGTGAATCAGGTCACGAAAAATTCAAGAATCGGCAACAGGCCATGGGCCTATTTGCTTCAATGCCGACACTTCTATTCTATGCTAGGCTCGCTCATTCGTTCGGTAAGTGCTGGTTTTCTACCAGACGACATCCTGATCAAAGGCAGCGTCAGGTAACTTTGCTAGTCAAATTTTTCTTGAACGTCACTTAGCCCTCTAACATATCACATTTCCGCTATCAATACGCAACCACAGAACGTTTAACCCAGCCCGTACACGCAAGACGTTACAACGTCGACCCAAAGAGTATCATGTCACATTTTGTTATGAAGATCATCGCGTCGAGTCTTAAGCTTCACGGCGAAGTCGGTGCTCCAGATGAAGAGCAATCTCAAAATTTATACGGTTATATTGGCCTCAATAACTTGTTGAACTGGAAACAAAGAAAACTCAATACATCGATGTAGATATGTGATGACACCAGTCCAGGGGAACTGATAAGCAGAGGTGGGCAGTAGCGCGCTACATGTAGCGGATGCTACATTTGCGGTGGCGGTAGCGGTAGCGGCTCTATATTCAAGGCAATGTAGCGGTAGCGGTAGCGCCCGCTACATATTTAAGTAGCGATACGAGGTTTTGCCGCAACAGCGCTACCGCTACATTTATAGATAAAGCCTTTAGATTTTACTTAAGGAGGCCGGCTACCCTCCAACAAAACTTTTTTGTTTACAGACGGATCGTTTTGAAACTTGGTACACATATGTCAAATAGAAATCTAAGACCTTTTTGTTCATGTAAATTAAAAAAAATGAAAGAAAACGTGTAATTAATAGAAAACGGCAAATAAGGGGTACTCTAAAAAAGTTTATAACTTTTGCAAATCTTATGCTACAATGTCGAGGCACATATCATTCGATTTGTAACAACAATATCTAGCGACCGTAGAGCCCCGATTTTTGATTTTCCTCATCGTTTTTTTCGCGTTCTTCCCATTTTTTCACATTTTTACCCCCCACCTTCCTCCCCCTCCCATATATAAGTCAAACCATGCTCATATTAAAAATAAGGCTTCTAGAGTCGCTAGGTATTGTTTTTACAAATCGAATGGTATGTCTCTCATAGCCGTAGCTTAAAAACTGTTGGAGTTATAATTTTTTTAAGATGGCGTTTTCGGATTTTTAAATTGTTCAGGGGAGCCAAATAAAGTAAAATTCAATGAAAACAGAAGAATATGCCCAAAAAGTCTTGATATTGTAGCCCAAGCTTTCCCATTGCCAATTAATTGCATTTAAGGTACCAGCATGCGTCTTTAGACCTATTTATATTAAATTCAAAGTGAATAATAGGCTATAAATGGGACTTTTTATATATAAATATATATATAAGCGTCTTGTTTGTAGCTTTCAAACGAGTGCAAACACTTTGCAATTAACCTAAATAATGACATATAAATACCATTTATTTGTAAATAATGATATAAAATGATCATTTTATAAAAGTTTAAGACTGCATTACACAAAAAAGTATTGCATGTACATCTATGGTAGTTGTTTTGTTGAACGCGTCTCGTTTGTAGCTCCCAGTAGAAATACGTGCAATAAAGCATGTTCCCCTAGGTTGCCCTGGATATAACTGTTATAGAACTATTATATAATCACTACGGAACTTATTTATAACAGTTATATCCAGGACAACCTAGGGGAACATGCTTTATTGAGAGTTGGTTGCATTGGTTGCTAGAAAAAAGGCTCCCAGTAGAAATACGTGCAATAAAGCATGTTCCCCTGGATATAACTGATATAGAACCATTATATAATCACTACGGAACAGTATGGAAGCAAGGAACTGAGAGAAAGGACAGCCTGAGGTTGTAAAGATGAAAGAGATACCAAAGTACAACTGCATATATGATAGCAGTAGAGATTGAGACCTAATGTTCTGCATGAGAGCAAATACTTTGAGTGTGAATGCACGGACATACAGGTGGAATGAAAGATAAGAGGATATTTGTTTTATGTGTGACAAAGGTGAGAGGGAAACTATGGAGCATCTGATGATGGAGTGTGATGCATATGAGTGGGAGAGACTGGAGAGTGATACTGGATGAGAGGGGTGAGGGTGATGGTGTAATGTATGAGTATGACTGTATGAGAGAACGGGAGACAAATGGATTGCGATGATAGCGGGTTTGTCAGCAGAGGTGGCTGCTGCCATGACTGAAAGTGGAAAGCGATATTTGCATAGTTAATGGAGAATGCGGGAGAGGAAGAAGTTGGCGAGAATGGAGGCCAAAGAAGAATAAAGAATCAAGCAATAATAAAATTATAATAAATGTAAATAGGACACAAATAATAACTCGGGGTCTGGGAAATACCAATATTAATATGAGCCTTAAAACTACAGTGCAATAAGTGATACATAGCAAAATATAATAGACCAAAGAACTTTCTTCTTGAACTTCTTTTCCTTGTTTTCTCTTTATTGAATGTTGAATGTTAAGAATCGGCGACAGCCTATGGCCTAATAAACGCTGAAACCTCTATTATTATTATTATTATTATTATTATTATTATTAACACAAATTTTTCACCTTCTAGCCTCTGCTATAATATTCTCTCTACCTAACCTCGTTTCCTTTTTCTCCTGCTAACAAAAACGAAACGTGACGAAATAGGTGACCGATATAAAGACCTGACTCCTGAAGACAGGCATTTCTCCTGATAAAGTCTTTTTCAGGGTAATCACGCTCCGCATATGATATAAAAAATGATTTCATAGTGTTACGAACGAGCAAGTAAATTATTATTTCAATAGTTTTTGCACAATTTTAATTGAAATCAAGTGCTTTAACAAGTATCAGCTATATAACAGTTTCGATAGCACTTTCCTTAACAGAGCATTGCTAAATACGACTTTTAAGAGCCGATAAAATTTTACCGAGTATATTAGCGTTTTGCTAAGTGGCGCAAACTCACTTATGGACAATAAACAACAGTCTATCAATCGATTATTTAATGTTTATTAAACACTTATATAATCATAAATTAAGATGTTTTCTATAGCAATCATACATATACAATTCTTAATAACCTTCTCATGAAAATCAATACGAGCGGTCCATTGCATGCTTAAAAAAATTTAATAATAAATAAGTCTTATCACACGTACATTCATGCTAACGCAGAGACAAACTAATGTTTTATTAGGTCTTTTAAATGACATCAGAGTCATGAGCTGTTGTTTCGGCATAATATCTTTCATGCCTAATAGGTTTCTCACGGCTTAAACGACCGCTACTATTTCCGATATGCTTAAGCCCATCGCTAACTCCATTTCCAATGTCATCTAATTGTCTCTTAGGAGTTTCGAATCCTTCTATGGGGTTGAATTTTCCATCAGGTTCGATCTCCAACTCCTTACCTCGATTAAAACCTCCGCCTGGGAAACCTCGGCCTATTGTTCCTCCATGCGAGTGACCAATGAACCCTGGACCTCCGTGTCCTCTTATATCATGTCCTCCATGACTTGTTGGGTGTCCCAAGTGCTGTCTAGTAATCAATGTGTGCCTCGGCCCCCCATGCTCGAAAATCTGGCCTATTCCATGAGCCTCACGTAAATCATGCGCTATTAGGCCGCTGTGACCAATGTCATGAATACCCACTCCTCCTATAAATCCGCCATGTCCTCCAACTGGCCCACCTAGACCTCCATGCACACCGTGGCCTATGCGCCCATCAAAACCTCCAGGCTCAACATGGCTCCTGAAACCTAAAGGAGCACCATGGACTCCTGGCCCAATGAATCCCACGCTTGGCCCACCAGGGTTTCCTATGTGTCCTCTGGAACCTAATTGTCCTGAAATAGGGTGACCAAAGAGCCCATGACGTCCGTGATGTACGGGGTGGGAAGTCACTACAGACGTGAACGGGCCATCGTTGAGACCTCGTCCATGGAACGGTCCGCCACCGTGAGGATGGATTCGGACGTGTTTAGTAAGACCGTATCCCGACGTGATCCGATTTTCATCATAGTTCTCATCATCGTCTTCATGGTACTCGTCATTGTTGTCGTCATGGTGATTATCATCTCTGACCTTATGATGAATCACTCTGTGCTTATGTTGTTGCGTCCCATGGATGGGATGACCTCCGATGTCGTAAGTAAAATCATACCCGAGACCTCTTGATCGCACTCGGCCTCCAACTGGTCCTCCTTGAAAGTTAAAATCCGGATGACTTAGATGCCTAAAATTGTCTTGATGGCTCTGATGGCCTGGATGAACAAGATGAGCTCCTGGGTTTGGGGGCCTGTCATTTATATGCCCACCAATTAGATGTCCACCAAGTCCAACAGGATGCCCACGAGGATGACCATCATGTGGATGACCTCTAAGGATATGTATACTTTGGAGATGATCAGCTCCATGGTGCGGAGGTCCGTGACTTGGGATGAACGCGTGTTGAGACGGATGCACCTGATGAGGATGAAATGCTCCAAATGATTGAGCTTCCGCGGAAGCTGAAGCTTCAGCTATTGCATCTGGCTGTGATGTGGCGTCAGAACTCGCGTCCGCAACCGCTTCTGGCGCCGGTTCAGCTTCCGCGTTTCGCTTATTGATGTTGTGCTTTAGTGAAGCATCAAATGCATTGGAGAAGCGCAGGGTGGCGTAAGGGGCAGCGTCTGCTTCGAGTAACGAAAGCCAAACGAAGTAGATGATGCCGAGAAACTGCACGAAAGAACTCGACGTTAGCTTGACTTTGAACAAACACACTGATTATCACTTATTCTTTAACAAACACACTGATTATCTCTTATTCTTTAAATAGAATTGAGCCCAACATACATCAGCATATTTGCAGAAGACTTGTGCGAACAACTGACTTGCATGGCGACAGTTAATATCTGGATGTAGTTTTGATATATTGTGCAACTCTACCGCTGGCCCGCGGTAGAGTTGAACGAAATATGATTAATCCAATTCTCACTATTTGGAAGAAAAATGATTCACTACTGACTACGGCTAAATTATGAGCCAATGACGAGGAAAGATCGAAGAAGAAATCCCGACAATGAGGTGCGAAGGTGAATTCAGAGCGAACATAGACTTAATTCTCTTCATGAACTTTGAGAGTACATTTTTAAAATAAGACATATAATTAAAATAAGAGGAAAATGAGTTATTTGATTATATAGTTTCTGATATAAAACTTTCTGCTCCATCGAAACTATTCGTTCATACATATATCATATACCATTGTGAATAGTAAAACAATTCCGTACATACTATTTATTTATCAGTATGACGAATCCTGCGCTATTGTTTTATGCACTAGTTCCGCTTAGAAAATTTGTTCTGGTGTACAAAAATTACATATTTCATCTTAAATATTACATTCAAATTCTCCAATGCATCGTGCGGAGCATAGTAGTGTGTCCGACATAGCATTGGGGTCCGACATACCTTGGGATCAAGCATCGTGGAGTCACTTTTTTTACTGTAACCTCAAAAAACTGAAAATTATTCTAATGGAGACTTTCAATTTTTCTTTAATTTAATGGACAAGTTTCGTTCTCCGCTGATATCGTTCGCAATTATCCTGCGTACTTTGAAACTTTTTGTCCGTATACAAAGCAAAGACAAAGTTATCTATGTATCAATCATATATATATTTCCTTTTAATATTTCACTGTTGAACGTGGAGACACAGAGTGGCACCAACATAGCTCCGGTGCGAAGGCAGTCCAATGAAAGGAACGGAGACTGACAATTGTTTTTATAGACGACAGTCGCACTGGCCGTGACCATTGCGATGTGAACTCATCATAGCGTCACGCAAACCATACGCTTATGCAACTTCAGCGCATCATGCATGCTTGCTCGGTACGATGGATCGTCCAAGTCCATGCAAGACGATACATCTCACACGAACAAGGCCTTTGATGGCCTCAACGACGGACACCGAAGTATTGAGCCAAACCACACAACGTGATACTTTAATTAAAGAAAATTCTCATTTTTTAAATAATGTATTGTGATTACCATTCACACAAAGTATATTTGAAGTATTATTTTGATTATCTAACAGTTTATTCACATAATGTAATATTATGCATTAAAACTTTATTTAAAATTGCACATCATGAGCGTGGCTCGTTTTGGCAATATTTGTAAGTTTACATGAGCCGCGTAGCCACATCCTTAGAATCAATAACGAGTGTGTAGTTTTTCTTCAAAGCGAGCTACTGAAGAGATGAGAAGCCTATAAGACTAACACATTTCTGGAACTACGGCTCGATGTACTCATTAAATATATTAAAAGCACATAAGGAAATTACCCGAATTACAGAATGTAGTTGTGCAACTGTGATATCCCCAAAAAACTCAATACAAAATCTGAGAGCGCGTTTGTTCTATCGCAGGCAGGCACAATATTATTATGCGCTATTATATGAACTATCGTTAATTATTCGTCTGAAACTCGATAGTTTTCAACCAATTAAATAGTACAATAATATAACTCAGTACACACTGCAGTGAGTGACAGAGAGCGCATTTTCTCGTCGACGAAAACGTGGTCACGGACGGACAGACGGACAGACAGACAGACGGACATGGCGAGCACAATAATGCATTTTTTCCATAAATGAGAAAATGCGCTAATAATACAAAAAACATTTGAGCAAAGATAGTCAAATCTTATGTGATATTTTTTTGGAATGAACACCCTACCAAACTTTCCTTTATATATGGTCACATAGTTCGAGGGTTGGTGACGAAAATTTAAAGAGATCCGAAGAAAATATGACGTAAAGATTCGGTTACTAACCCTCAAGTGCGTTGCCGTTTCATAATAAATGGAATTATTGACGCCATTTCTATGCAAAACAGGACATCCAATCCACATGTAGCAAGCAAAATAACTTCATTAACTAAAAAAGCCTCCAAACTAAGCGAATTTAACAGAGGCCATCTCAATTTCGAATGAGATCCTGTTTTCCTGTTATAGTACCTTACGAGTTGATTATTTTAATATAAAGTAAAAAATTCTATTACATCGAATAATACGGATAATATATTTATTTTTGTATGGTAATGAGGCATATATGATATGAATGCTACGAAAGGTTCTGCCGTTGCAACATTGCGCGAACTACTTCTAGCAGCAAACGACAAATTCGAGCGGAACATTAAGAGTGCAAATCATCGGATAGTGCATATATCATCCGTCACTATTTACGATGTTTGTGTAATGCGCATCGAGGCCATATCAATGAGCTTACGATGCTTGCGTTATACTCTGTTTTGTCACGCACGCGCCAATCATTGATGTTAAACTGCCGCGATTTTTATGAGCTCTAACATTCAATGGACTATCGGTTGGTACTCCTGATGTTCCTTCATATAAACGTCACATGAAAAGAACTTGCACACACCAACAGAAAGAAATGTATTTAACTTAATGGAAATAAACGGAGGAACAAATTTCGGCTTTTATTAACAGTAAAACGTTTTCCGTTCACATTTAGCAAAGATTTCTGTTGCAGTCTTCCCTTCGATTTTTTACAGTTTATTTATGTTCTACAAGTCCTTTAATTGAGGCCAATAAAGGAGAGGCAAATGCAAATACATTTACAATCAAACATAATTTGGATCGTACTTGCAATTGAATGATTACGTGAAATTCATCAGCAACATGAAATTTTGGTAGGTACGTTTTCTTAAGTGTGAAACAAAGGGATAAATGCAAACGCCATGTATACCTGAATGTTGCAGAAAAGAATTTCTGCAATATTAACTTTAATTAAACCATAAATTATGCATTGACCAATGTCAGGGATACCTTCATGTATTCCTCTGGTTGCATCTGATTTGCCTCTCCCCTACGTACGTTACCCGATCACAAACCACTAGCTGTGACAACGCTTCCTTCGAAAGCTTTCCTTTCACCAACGCTGCCCGTGAGAGCCATCGCGTCCAATGTTTGTATGTCTTACCGTCAAGAAACAGACACTCGAAATCGCTCAATGACCGTACAGTGCAATATTTTTCATTTGTCCGCGCATTCAACCGACGTTCACGTTTCCCTTCTTTTCTGTTGTTTGATGCTGCAACAATGCCCCGCAGCCAACCGTTTTGGTACAGTCATGATTTCTCTCCTTCACACGGATACCTCAACACATTGAAATCTTCACGACTAAGACTTCTGACGTCATTTGTATTTTTGTAGAAACCAAGGAAAATATATTGGTCTATGAGTGTGTATCATTTGCCATCATATTCAACTTACTCAAAGATATTTTAGCATTTTGACGCTGAAGCTACAAGTTTAGTCAAGGCTTGAGCGATTCATGGTCATTAAAATGTATTCCTATGGCATATACCCACCATCTTCAAGCAGTGACGACCTTTGCATCCCTAATAATCTAACAAGTTAATGAATCAAAGTAAATTTGCTTCACGATAACGATGATGAAATTTTATCCAATGCACGGGAAACTATTTTAGTTTTTCACAATTTTTTCAAGCTTTCGTATTTTAATGGAATTTGTGAAAGCTCCGCGTAAAATTAAATACTCCACATCGTGTTTTCTTGATACGTAGCTGAATAAGTAGTTTAAACTGATGGAGTGGCCTATGCAGCCTTTCATTTTCGAATTACTTTTTCATAACCTTCGTTTGAGAAGCAGCTCTACTCCACTTGCGCATTAATTATTTTATCATATGTAAGTCAAGGCTAGAAACATGTATCCTTCAAATCATAATTAACCGTTATCTTAATAAATTTTACTAGAAGATAGCTAAGTGTCTGTGTCAGATCTCTGTGATATGTCGTCACCTCCTTGCGTGGCAAGGCCAAGCAGAACGTGGAGGGCGTCTGCCGCGCGACCATCCTAGGCTGACACTTTAATGAGCTTCTCGTGTGCTCGTCTCGAGATTGTTTCCCAGCGCTGAGCATTGAATAAGTTTCGCTGCGATGGCATTCGTCTCATAATGTCCAAGGTGTTACACGAATTAGACTGTTACCAAGGAAATTAACTAAACGAACAAAGGTTGGCTTCACTTTATTGTTCTTGTAAGCTGGAAGTGAATCAAATACGAATCTTACTAGAGGCGTGACGATGGGAGATACACAATAAAGCAAAGCCAGAAGAGAAGTCACTCCAACGCTAGCGCCAGTCTATTGGTGGCAATATGAAGATCATAAACCAGCTTTGACACACATCGCAAGAAAAGAATTGCATAAAGTAACTACGCTGTGGTATCAATGGTCTAACATTCACAGCAGTGACTAAGACTCTCAAAACGAAGCTGGGAACAGTCAACGTTTATCACTAACATTTATCATGCAGCTCTTCTCTCGCAGTCCTCGTTTACGAAAAATGTTCTCGCAAAGAACTACGCGAGGTTTACTGATCGTTGAAGGTAAAAAGATTTTAATTTCGTAGACATGACACTTAGCTTGAGCAATTACATCAGCCTCCATGATGATGAGGACCTCATGAGTTAAAATGAATGATTGCCTTTCTTATCAAGGTGTTTTCTTGTCAGGGGCCCAAATTCTTCATGAGTGTATGGAAATTTCATAACAAATTTGCCCTTTGATTCTTGAAAATTTCCTGCATTCGGCAATCGGAGGCATGGTGCTAACTGCGCGAATTTTCAGATTAAAAAATCGACTGTTCCTTTGCCGAGGATCGATTTTTACTCAAGAGTTTTTCTTCACACATTAATGAGAAAATTCATTATTTCAGACATTTAATCAAAATTATTGAAATAATTTACAATTTTGAGCGTTTTAAATTATTTTTAAAACTTCTTCGAGAGCACGCATTTACCACAGAGTTACATGCAAAAACCATTAATTTAACTTTAACAAAAATGTACTGTGCAAAATAAAATACAGAGAGATCATTCAAGCTTATTGCGAAAATTTCAAATAGAAAATGCCTAAAATTAAATTATTCAAAGACGATGAGGAATAAATTTTACACTGTAATTAATTAAAAATGTAAACGCCGTTGAATTGCCATCAGTGCTGGGTATTTATAATAAAAATAAACCTGTAATATATCTATTAAAATATATTGTGCAATTTAATGATTCATCTCAAAATATGAATGATTCTGTCTGCCTTTTCAAATGAATAAAAATATTCTAATCTCCACAACAATTTACATTATTCTCATTGGGACGAAATGTTCAGACGAGCATCTACCGGCTAGAAATATCAGTCCTGTAAAACTTTCCTTCAAATGTCGACGTGAGAAGCTTCTCCGGTTGCGATAAAATTTATTTGCTCAGATCATAAATTTACGCTTCAAGTGGCGAAAAGTCGATTTCGGCTCCGTCATGAGAGATCGTGAGAAACGTAAAGGCGCATAGAACTGTGGATTGTTTGAATACTTATAAAATTGTGATTTTTTAGAATAAATATAGTGCAATTTTGCTCACGAGCCACAGTGAATCCACTTGCTTTTGAGTAACCAATTGGATTGGAATTGAGTAACCCATCGCGCAGGGTTACTCAATTAAATATAATTACTAGACAACGTTAGTGACGTCAGAATTACAAGTACTTTGTTTTGATCGTCTGAGTGCAACATGAATATTTCTGTGTCGGTACTTAAGAGAATATTTCTATGAGATACTCCTTTAAATTACCATAGTATCTTATTAGAAAGATTCTCAACAAGTACTTCAGACTCGGACGTAGCTATTGTGGCCGTCAAGTCGTTTCGCCTTCAGAAATTTACTTCTGCTCGAAGCGGATGTTACGGTTAAAAGGACTAAGAGTAGTGACAGAGAATGGAGAAATGGTCGTCAAGATAGGTCTATTGAACCCAACATCGATGGGCTGATTGAAATCGAGACCAGGTCTGACACCGAGACTGTTGATCCCAATACCGCCGATGCCGGTAAGGCCATCAATGTTGTTGATGCCACCAAACCTGTCAAATCCGTCTACGCCACCCACAAAGTTGGTAGGAAAGACTCGTCGGAAGTTGCCTAAGTTAACGCCACTGAAACGAGGGTCGAGGTATCGGGAGTCAATGTACTGGCGAAGTTGAGGATATTGGATCAAAAGTTGAGGATACTGGAGCAGAATTTGAGGATACTGGACCAGAAGTTGAGGGTACCGAAGTATGAGATGGGGGTACTGCAGCAGAATTTCTGGGTTCTGTACAAGAATTAATGGGTTTCGGGCGACGAGGAGTTCAAGGTAACCGGGATCGATTCCACCAAGAACACCTCCAAGACCTAGACCTCCAACACCGCCAAGACCCAAGTTTCCTACACCGCCAAGACCCAAGCTTCCAACACCGCCAAGACCCAAGCTTCCAACACCTCCAAGCGTTCCTAGACCTCCAATGCCTCCAAGCGTTCCAAGACCACCAAGACCTCCAAGCGTTCCAAGACTCCCAACACCTCCCAAGCCTCCTAATCCTCCCAGGCCAAGACTAGAGCCACCAAAAGGGACTGCTGTTCCTGGAATGAGACGGTCTGAAATCCCAAACTGAGCATCACGTCCGATTATGAGTTCTTCATTATTTCCTCGGTTATCCTGAGTGACACGGACCACAGGGGATGTTCGGACACGCGATGGTTCCGGAGTTGTGACAAATGTTCTTCTTTCACTGTTGTCGCCGACGATGATGTCGCTGTCGCGTCCTGCGCCGAACGTTACTCGCCTCTGCGCAGACGCTGACTTGCCGCTGTTCTTCGCGTCTTCTGGCAGAGCGATGACTGCCCCAAAGAGCACGACTAGCATGACGCACACCGTCGTCTGAAAATGTGGGATAATTATGTGGAGGTTAAGATAAACTAGTGGAATTGCGGCACAGCTTTATAATTTCTGAACATGATTCCGGTGTAAGGCACAATGTCCTCTTTGAATCAGCTATAAACTTTGTGTCCATTAAACTACCCAAGCCTCACATTCACTCAGAAATTTAGAGTTAAAATATTGGAATATGGCCACGTAATGCACATGAGATTATAAAATTTCACTGAATTATCGCAATTGTCAGTGGTAGCAGGTATGATTCTTGTTATTAATTCCTTGTAAATTCAAGCTAACTGAACTTTCCACGAGTTAAAATTTGAAATTCTCAATTGTAATGAAAATAGATGGCACGACCACAAAGAATCATTTATCGTGTGGAATATGTTATTATTCAGGTAAAAATAATTTGAAAAGAGTAAAGTAGCATTCGATAGAGCTCAATATAGATGTCCTCGCTCTTAACGGTTCCGGCTTGACTGCCTAATTTGCAGGTCCCATCAACCCCACTCCGGCCAATCGTACACGACTTCCTTTTTTACGTTCGATCTATCTCCTGATTTTGACATAGAAATTTAATGTCTCGTATTTAGTATTGGAATTGATAGCCACTAAAGTATAATTTTAGCCTAGAATCACAAAGGATTGATAAGATATTGGCCCGTATGCTAAATAGGGCACTAGCACTACGAAGTAGCACTACGCACTACAAGCCGTAGTGCCTACTATAGTGCGACATGGAACGCCACGGTTGGCATGCTAAATAGGGCACTAGCACTACGAAGTAGCACTACGCACTACAAGCCGTAGTGCCTACTATAGTGCGACATGGAACACTACGGTTGGCATGCTAAATAGGGCACTAGCACTTTGAAGTAGCACTATGCACTACAAGCCGTAGTGCGACATGGAACACTACGGTTGGCATGCTAAATAGGGCACTAGCACTATGAAGTAGAACTACGCACTACAAGCCATAGTGCGGCATGGAACACTACGGTTGGTATGCTAAATAGGGCCAAAAGCATAACGCGCACTACAAAAATCTGAAGTGTCCTACACACCGCACTTCACGACGACACTGCGGTATATTTAACCTTGTTTACTTCGGCAGCTATGGATCTGTTTGGCTTACAGCAAAGGCATCATCGCGTAAAAACCTCAGTAACTACATGCCAAGAATATATAACAAAGTGTAACGCATCAGTGAATAACATGTTATTCTTATGGCTGACATTTTCCTTGGCGAAACAGATGAACAGCGTAGAAGTAGAAAATACTTTTCTTGTTTTTGATACCATGTTTTGAAATCTTTTTTTTTTAGTCATTTTGAATTCTTCTGCAAGAACTTTCCATGCTTCTCTCTTTTGTTCGATGTCTTTGGAATTTCAGCTCACCATCACAATTTTCACTAGTACCATTACCATCACAATTAGACATTTTACATCAATCTTCTGCAAAGAATGAGAATTACTTAGGGAATAACTAATTATTTGAGCACTTAACTACCATTCTTCAATAGACTCATAGCGTAGTACGGCACTATAAAGTACTCTAACAGCGAAGTAGCACTTCAAAGTCTTTCTGCATACGAATCAGTAGTGCGACACTAAGCGACACTAAACATTGTAGAGCTACTTCGAAGTGCTGAGTGTCTGTGACGTATTTAGCATACCAACAGGACACTTCGTAGTGCATAGTGCTACTTCGTAGTGCTAGTGCCGTATTTAGCATACGGGCCATTGTAGCAAGATTCGTGCCTAAGGTTCCTAGCGCATAGAGGTTCACACCAGCGCTATTGTCATTCACTGCGTTATCACTCGCTGAGACTTTCCCGCTAGCTGGGAAAGTGTTTCCCATTCACAGGAAAGCTCCCGCTGACACTCGAGCGTGAAGGTTAATCCGCTAGTAATTGGATCCAAGTCGACACCTGTAGATTACAGCACGAGGGAAAACCTCACCAATAAGGAACGTCAATTAAATTCAAGGACATGCTTGATTACAAGAGATATTCTGTTTCAGTACCTGCTCAATGTACAAGAAAGTCGGTGTGTATGAAGTTTGCATGGAATAGTTATTAGCAGCTATTGTGTTCCTTACTTGAAATGAATTGTTAGATCATTATTATACTGAAATTTTATTAAGGAGATTATTATTTTCAAAAGTTATTATGCAATTGATGGAATTGAGCTCATGCATAAGCAACGCGTACCTACGAGATTTGGTCGTGAAAATAAACGAGTCAGGCTTCTTAACTTTGCTCACGAATAAAAAATCAACATTGAATAACAAACTGCTTATGATGACATAATTCTTTAGTACTATAGTTGTAAAGACTAAAGACAGCCGCCCGGAAAAAAGACCTTTATTCATCCATTGTAGTAATTGGTAGTAACTCGTTCGCACTGGTGAAACTATAGTGAGTATTGTCATTGAATTATATTTATTGGGATCGATTTATTTAGAAATAAAGATAGTGATATTGATTTGAACACACAATCCGTGGTAAAATAAAATTTAAACCAGCTTTTCTTTATACTTGATTTGAATTTGCATGCCCATATCACAGCACTACACTCACCCTAGCTCCAAAGCTTGACATTTGAGAAGTAAACACAACATATAAGCAACACTCCATTTACGGAAACATCACTCCATTCAAGAAGTGATGCTCTATTGAAGTGGTACTATTGGTCTGACGACAACATTTTTCCATCGTCTGAACTGCGCAAAACCTTTGCTAGTTAATTTATCGCGCAGAGAATGAATGCTTTCTCAAACCTCCACTCCATAAACCCGAGTTTGTGGAATTGAGATTCTGAAAACAATTTTAATAATCGATGGTGTATTATTGGTTATCACAATTATATGCGTTAATAAACCTTATATACATAGCACTGACAACGTATGATGCATATTTCCCGTCGTAGCATTGCTTCAATGCCGATCATTTGCATACCGCGGACAAACCGCTCGTGCGGATCTACGTTTTCCAATTTGGCGCTGGCTCAGTGACCTGCTTATACAAACAGGAAGGGTCCTTGAATAAGATTTTATACGCAGCTTGGTGTATTAATGTACGCGTATTACATGCTCTGCTGACGCCTTCATGCGCAGGAAAAGCATGAGGCGTTCATGCGTTGAGATGCTGGCAGGAAGAGCAGAGAAATAATTAATGAGGTGTGGCGAGTGCTGTAAAGTACAGGATACAGTTCACAGTGTTCTGCACAGTGCGTAATGAAGCGTCATACTAACTATAGATAAAATTGTCCGTATTTAGCGTACCGTGTATTGTACGCTTTTAAGGGCTGTGAAGAGGGAGGGGGACCAAGATGTACAGTACACCTAAAAGTACAGCGCGAGGATAGGGTGCATAATTTGCACGTCTCTTAATGCGCATGTCTCTTCAAGAATTATTTGATCAGGAGGTCGTAGCTCTGTACTATATTATAGTCTCTCGCATTAGCGGTTCAATATTTTCCGTATGTTATAACCTACTCTACCTAGTCTTGTCATTACATGGCCGTGTGCTTTGAATGGAAAGCTGAGTGCACAACATAATCAGTATCTTATGTACCATATATACAAGGTGTGCATGGCGATCAATCTGCAGCTGGGTGAAAGTGTGATATTTTTTTTTGTACGCATTACCGTAGAAATTACTTACCCCGCATTATGCACGTATTGTAAAGGTTTTTAACTTATAAAGTGCGTAATGAACAATAGTTCTGTGTCTACAATACCGTACTGGCGTAGAATTTTTTCGATACTCATTACAGCGCGTACGGCTTCATGAATCGTTACGTTAAAATTAATGTAAATTCTAAAAGTCTACATATAGCAGTCTAGCTAAACACATTATACAGAAAACAATGCTCAATGCACCAATTTATGTAATTCAAAGGACATGTTCAGTGATCATCCAGAAAGCAGCGACTTACATATAGGTAATTTTCAATCATTAAATAAACATTATTATGATATTTGGCTAATCAGAGATTATTTTGATGATCCCAATTTTCTGTAGTTAGTCCATTTACCGTACTTTATATTAGGAATTCATAAGAAATCTACGGATAGTTTTACACTTCGTTCCGTCAGATGTCAACTAGAAATGATATTTAGCCAAATTGACGGTATAATTTGAATACACATTTCAGAAGTATGACTTCCAAAAATATTTTGATTAAACAATATATCGGGAAATTACATGCATTACATAGAGTATCATTGATAATTCTTTGTGATCAATGGAAAAAACATGCCAATTGAGTTGTTGATTCGATCAGCGGAGTTTCTTGAAGTCGGGTTAGAAATAATTTAGGTATAAACGCAGCTTCATTACAACGTAAAAAATCAACTGCAGTTTGACGTTTACATTTTTCTCAATGTCACTTCAACAATTAAATCACCGATTGACTTACAGCGATTGAGTACGATGGTGGCTATTATAGTGTACGATGGTGGCTATGATAGTGTACGATGGTGGCTATGATAGTGTACGATGGTGGCTATGATGGTGTACTATGGTGGCTATGATAGTGTACGATGGTGGCTATGATAGTGTACTATGGTGGCTATGATAGTGTACTATGGTGGCTATGATGGTGTACTATGGTGGCTATGATGGTGTACGATGGTGGCTATGATGGTGTACTATGGTGGCTATGATGGTGTACTATGGTGGCTATGATGGTGTACGATGGTGGCTATGATGGTGTACTATGGTGGCTATGATGGTGTACGATGGTGGCTATGATAGTGTACGATGGTGGCTATGATGGTGTACGATGGTGGCTATGATGGTGTACGATGGTGGCTATGATAGTGTACTATGGTGGCTATGATGGTGTACGATGGTGGCTATGATAGTGTACTATGGTGGCTATGGTAGCGTCGTACGGGCTGGACTTTTAATTATAATTTGTATGGTTAGAAAAAGCAGAATACTTTTCGTTCAATGGAAAGTTGTCGACCAGCTTTTCAGGATTTTCACGAGGCATTTACCATAAAATAAAATTAGCGTAGAGTAGTCAACATAAAATATTAATATCGGCCACCATTTATTACTACCCGCTAGTTGGCAACACTAAGCCACTTCACGACAATACTCGCATCGAAGTAGCGGGAATTCCTTCTATGCAGTTTAATAGCCGCCTCGAGGCAAGGCTAACGATGCATGTTGAGCAACTTATTTAGGCTCAAGACCAATACAAGGTGAAGGCCGAGCTGCTAGCTCCTGTTCTCTCGATAATTGCTCTTGGCAGAAAAATTAATAATATAAAATATTGCTTATTTGGAACATTAATATGTAAGGAAACTTCTGAGAGTGGGTACGATTATGAATTATTTTATGGGCATCGGAAACAATTTAATTTACTTATTTTTGCAGAAAGAGAGTTTTAAGTGATAAATTGGATTCTAATCGATAAGAAATTGATGGCTGAGACGGCTTAATATTCCTTGGCTGAGATTCTATGCCAAGGAATACCAAAAAAATGCGTGGTTCCGTTTTAGCGCATTTTCTCATTTATGGAAAAAATGCACTCATGTGCTCGCCATGTCCGTCCGTCCGTCTGTCCGTCCGTCTGTCCGTAACCTCAAGTTTTCGTCGACGAGAAAATGCGCTCTCTGTCACTCACTGCAGTGAGTACTGAGTTACATTTTTTTCTTATTTTGGGTGCTCTGCACACTGACCCGACATCACCTTAGATAAATCCTAGATACGCTGATATCTAACAAATAAGTAAGGAATATTGAGCAATAATATGGCTACTATATTTCCTACCCATTAAACCAAACGAATGTTGATCAACCTACGAACAACATGAAGATTGAGCGTTCCCCCAGGCGACACAAAATATTATCGAAATGCGACCAAATGCTTGCAATGATTTAAAAAAAAATCAAAATATTTTCACGCATATTTACGATGATTTAAATGGCGGCAAGGAGGGGGGAAGGGTACCACATAGAAAGACCTTGTCTATTCATTAACTTTTAAACGACCAAAGTTGGCATTGTAGGCATAAAAATCATGGAATCGTGAGGAAATTATTTAACTCTGAAACTAATATGGAACGAAGCAATTTATAACTTTTCACATATTGATTGTTAGAAAACTCAAACTCTTACCATTTGCGTCATTTTTGTTTTTGTTGTTCGTTGCCGCTCGTTGATTCCGACGTGGATAACTTTTGCGGTAAAACTTTTCGTGTTTCGTTCAGTGATCCTATAATGGAAGTCCAATGGATCGACAGCTCTGCGGCCGGCGCTGTGGTTGAAGCTGAAGTGAGTCTCGTTAACGTCACGCACTTTGTTATAAGCAAAGTCTGGTCTCGCATGACCCTGAGCTTAAAATAGATCCTGCACGTTTCTCGAGCATAATATCGGCGAATGGATCGTTGCATCTTTCTATCGTTCCTAATTTTAGTCTTCACTTCGGAATTAAGTTTCTATGATGAGCATATGACTCGTAATGAATTAGAGTGATAATATTAAACTAGAACCATATAGATGTTGAGAAGGTTGTTTAATTTTTAGCCAGTCCCCGGCTCAGTGAACAGGGTAGTTGCAGGAAATGCGTGTCCACAATGTACCGATAGAGTATCGCTACGTTAAATGTGCACGTGTGATACCACTTATTCTGGGGAACGAACACGTGACACATTATTGAAATAAATGCTCAAGGATCTCCTAAATACTTTTTAACTGCCATATCTGGCACGTAATTACCATTGTCACGCATTAAACCTATGGATGGACTGTAGTCGTACTCGTACGTTATGCTTACTGAACAACCACTGAATTTGGTTCATAAGAAATAATTTTTTAAATTTCTGTCCTTGCCAGCGTGATGTTATTGATTATCAAATTGTGCACTGTATGATATATTTAAAGTCTACTTTAATACCACAAAGCGAAACCTGGGCGAAATTGTATGATTAAGTGATCAAGTCATTCCAATCACGCAGGCTATCTCCGACTTCGGGATGCTGATCCCCTTATGCCCAAATAAAAATTAAGGGTGGAGCACCGATGATTATAGGTGGCGATAGCAGATTATAGGTGGCGTAACGGTGGGTGGCCAGATCTGCCGAAAATCGACAATAAAACGCCAATAAATCGAAAGAGTGGCGAGTATAGGTGGGAGCCATCGATGAATCATCGATGATATATAGGGTCTGAAACATCTATGGCTCATTGCAGACAAATCTCTTGTGAGCCACCGATAACCGTTTGCCCAAACTGCACAGTGCACGAAGGTATTTGCCATGCCACTGTAATTTATCCAACGTAGAGAGGTGTTTTTGGGTTGCAGGTCATTCGAGATAAAGGCGAAACCATGACTTGTGCTTGGCGTTCTGACGTTCGTTCGGCGTTCTGAGACGAAACGTTCGGTGTGCTTAGCATTTAAGATTAAGTTCTGTTAAGAAAATTTAGCGTGAATTCAGTAGGTACGAGTAAAACTGACAGATAGAAGCAAGGTGTTCACAAATTTTCCAAACCAAAGTGAAGCCACGGGGCATGTATCACACTGCTTGTGATATAAATTGTCCACAGAACAATGGAAAATTTTTGTCGCTAAAAATTGTTTCTCAAAAGTAGACAGCGAATCCAATTTTTTATGTTCATATGAGATATTGAGTGAATTTATTACGAATTATGCTTATACGCCAACTGGCTGTGTTGGAAATATTGCGATCAATTCAGACTAATTATTGTATCATTATGTATAATTTGTATGGATCGATTAAGTGTGGTATCAATATTCTCAAATCGCCCCAGTTATCTAAACTCTGAAGCCACGTCGACGTAGTCTGTAGAGGTAAGGCATCTCTAAAGCACAGCGGCTCGGCGGCTCCCAAGCACAGCGAGCAGTCGAGTAAGCACACGTTCACACGAGTTGGGTTTACGGGAGAACATGAAGTGGAGCAGGTAATTCACGCCTGAAATTTCAAAATAATCGAGTGATATCAATACTTATATCACGCAAGAATGTTCTTGATAAAATATTTCGAATCAAACCGTAGTCAAAATTGGTGTAATGTTCACATTATGAAACATCGATGCTTATTAAGCATTTTTCCGTAGCCTTTACTCTGAGCTGAACCATCGTTCGTTACTAATAAACGGAGTTTGTTTCAGTGGCTGTTTATTTGAATGTAGCAGCATGTTCAAATAAAATTGTTGATGGAACCATCTAATCTTCACGGTGGTAGCACTAACTTCTGTTATTCGATGAAATTAATACTTGCAATACTTCAGACAAATATTTTAAAATTACTCTAGTGCCTAGTCCTCTCCTGTAGCTCAACGGGAGAGGCTCTGCTTCGCGTGTGGGAGACCGGAGTTCGAATCCTGCAGGCAGGGAGTTTCTTCAACTCGATTTCTCACGAGGTATGTGTATGTTACTCTGAAAATTTGTTCCTGCTACATGTCTGACATTGTTACTTGTACAATAATGGTAGATTACATACGCAGCCCTTAGGATGGTGATTGTGTGGAACTATGTCAGTAAATACATACGCATCGGATCAGAAACTAAATTTAAAGTTTTTATCGACTCGTTTTAAAAGTGGCCATGCCTGGCTCATCAATGTGCCACTGGTGCCAATGGGTAGTTATTGGCGGAAGGAGAGCTTTACGTTTAGGGGGGCCATAGGCAGGTTATAGGTATGGTAAAGGTGGTGCACGCCACCCTTAATTCACTGTATAAATCAAAGCTGCTCCACCTATGGCGTCCGCCTATAGCCATCATAAAAACATAGGTGCTCCACTCTTAATTTTTATTTGGGTGATGCTGAAACGCACCCCAAGTTATAAAATTTTTCGATTTTTTGCGAATAACTAGAATTCCGCGATAGCACAAATCAATTAATGAAACTTAATCAAATTTCATTTGGCAGCAGTGTTATAAATTTTATAAAATTATTTACACGACTAGGTTTTTTATACAATACTAGATACTTGCTATTCAAATCATACGGTAATCAATTGTCCGAAGTACGCGCGGTCAGATATTTGGTACGCCCCGGCCCCCGCGGCGGCTGCGCAACGCTTTGAGGCTGATGTTCGGAGGGTGGGCTTTGGTCTGCGGTGTCATGCAATATTAATGTGACGACACAAATGTAATTTATTGACATTTAACATTCCATGGTGTTCCATTTCTCGTGGTAAGCACCACTTATGTAAGGGCAATTATGCTAGTATTTTGAAAATTGTCTGTGAATTTGTTACAAAATGTGTTACTGACAAGAAGTTTTAAGTTTTGTTATGTAGAAGACAATTTTTGCTATGATATTAGCCGTTGTTTGAGTCATACAATTTGAGTCGTTTTCTTTTTGCTTTTATTTATATTTCAATTACGTGTTTTGCTTAATTTGCTTCAATAATTGTATTTTTTAATTTAATAGAAATCGTAATCTTTTCTACAATTTTAAACATGAACTAAAGATAAATTTTCTTGTAAAAATTTAACAAAAAACCTGGCGTATTTCATGCCAAGAATAAAGATCAAACTAACTTCAGAGCACAATAACAACATAACCTATAATATGCAAAATATTAAATTCTCTTTCTATGATCCTGAAGTATACATCGAAGAAATGAACATCAAAACTTATCGAGTGTTTATAAATTCATGAAGTGCTGTAAATAGAAGTTCTTCTGGAGTAGCACTCCAGAAAATGTATTTGCTTCAAGTCACCTGAAAGGATCGGGTTATCCGAAGTAGAATGTATGATCGATAGCCATCATAATAATCTCTTCGTGAAAGGAAAGCCTTCTTGTGTGAAAAGAATTTGAATTAAGGATAGTGGTCCTTAATTGTAATGACATTTCCGCATTTCAGTATATGATCTCTGCTGAAAACCAATACCATGAAATTTTCATGGCGTTGGTTTAGATCATATACCAGCTTTATCGTGTTGGAGAATATTTAGGTGACCATGGTCAGTCAATATATGCCCATTGTTTTTATGGTGCAGCGCGGTCTGCTTGCTGACGATGCGAACGTTCGCTGTTGGAGATGGGCGGTTATTTTTACGTTAAAGACAGAGTTCGTTTGCTGCCAATGTAGCACATCCTGCATGTAAGAGAAAAAATTATTTGTGTATAATCCTTTTGGTTAGATTATTTACTTGATCAATCTGAGTGGCAAGAATTCATTTAAAAATAAGATCGCGGATCGAGGATGCGAAGGAACTTCGCTCGTCAAGCCGTTCTGCTCCATCACCGGCACAGCCCAGAGATGCAGCTCCCTATTTAAAATTATAGGGGTGTTAAGTATGGCTCGAGAAAATCACGTGTTAGGACGACGATGGTTTGCCTGCGTTATATAAAATAGGCTGAGATATTCTACGTGAATGTCTGTTGAAATGTGTCTCTCCGGATGTCTATTCTCGCTTATTCCTACTGCAATTAAAAGGACGAGTGTGCATGAAGATAAAAAATATTTTTCAAGACAAAGAATAATTTTATCGTGGTGCAGCCCGCAAAATAATTACAAATTGTTTTAGTACCAGTTAAATAATCAAATTTTCATCGTTATATGTGCGATATTTTGAATTAGTTGTGACATTGAGGTACACTACGATTCCCGTAATAGAAATATTATTTATGACAACCGTAATTTATGCAATCATTCAAATTAGATAACGGTGGAAGTGAAAATGTGGAAGAGAATTTTAACAAAATCATAGGAAGGAACTAATTATTATACATATGTTCTTTTTTTAAGCATCATGGTGTGGAAATTGGACGGTGTTAATTTTTGTCCAGTCATAAAGGGAGAATATTGTTTAAAGTGAAATTTATCGAGTATAACTGGAAAAAATTTATGGTAAAATGATATTAAATAATATTGTCATTTCAGACATGTGGTGAAGCATCCACTAAGGATAGCATTTAATTTGCAAACGTAAATTTTTCCATTTTTATACAAAACTTTTGTCCAATTAAACATGATTTATTTAATTAAAAGGAAAATAAGCTGATCGATATATACAACGAAAAAAATCTGCATATTCAACTTAATACTTGAGAAGAATCAGGAAGGATCTTCAGTGCAAAATGGATTCAATAATGATATTGAGTATGGCTCCTGAATCTGAATCACTCATTCTGTGTAAAGACTGCCTATTGAAAAAAAGATATCATTCAATTGCAAAAAGTTAAGAACAATGCATTCAGCGATGGCAGGCATCTAATATACATTTAAGCAAAGCAAGTTCCTATTTAGGTTAGGTTAGGTTAACAGACTAGACGAAGCTATGCAGGA